TTAAAAGTTTAGAATTTTAAAAATATTTTGAAAAAGATTTTAAAGTATAAAATAATCTCAAATTAGTACTATATAATGCTAATTTCACCCTTTCTCCCAAATTAATATCCCCAAATTTAGCCAAACCCGCGTGCCCTAGCCCATATGATAATGAGTGGTATACTTTGAAACAAAAGCTAGCAGTTCTTCAGCTGAAGCACTTTTAAACTTGGAGATAAGAGGTAATCCATACAATAATTGACTGTATACTCTCATGTTTTCATGCATACATAATTTCAAGTTAAATTATTCAGCTTATGTCAGAAACTACTAAATATTCACATATGCATTATTTTTAATAACTTTTGTATTCACGTATTTGTGATATTTATCTTCAATCATTCGAATTTCTTGGTATTTAGTTGCTTTTATTTGTTGTGATGCACAGCCACAGGTGTGACTAAATTTAAGGATAGAAATTTGGGAGAAGTGGTAAAATTGACATTATATGGTACTAATTTGAAATTATTTTATTCATTAAAACCTTTTTAAAATATTTTTAAAACCCCCATACTTTGAAATTATTTGTTTCAACCCACCCTTTTTCTCTGGAATAATCCTTACCTTTTTCGTTTCCTCCTGTTAAAAAATGGCTATCCAGGGCCTAAACATAACAACCTTGATTCCTCCGAAAACCCATTTCAATATCAGTACCAAATCCAAGGCTTCGGCTTCTGCTGTCCTTAAAAAACCCAGAGGAATTTCCTTCTCAGTTCGTGCAATGGGTTTATCTCCTTCTTCTCAGAAACCAGACAACATTCAAGGTATCGATTAAGTTCTGTGTTCTTCTTATTTCTTGTTAAATTTATCAAATTGTAATTTTATTCTGTATCCCGATGTTCCCACTGTCTCCCCTTTTTTTTTTTTTTTCTGGTGACCCAATTACAATTACTTGCTTTTATCTCCTTTGTTTTTATCATGTTGAGCCTTACTTTGCTACAAAATTTAGTATATTTTTCTGGAAGTTTGCAATTTGAAAGCTTTTTTGTATTTGTTATGATAGGCCTAATTGTAAATGAGCGCACATAAATTTTATTAGCTCTTGTCTTGAAATTGTAGAATATTAGGAAAATCTACTTTCTCAATCCCGGTTTTAGTAATTGTATTAAGGGTCAGTGTATATCGGATTCTGGAACTATGGATCATCTATTTTTTTTGGACTGCCTTCGATCGCTAGGTTGAATAATGTCTTAATTGTCAGCCAAGAAGGCTCATTTTAGTTAACTTTTTTATTATGAGTTTCAAGTCAATTAATACCAAATGAATTTAATTAGCAAACTGTTCAGTTTAACGCTCTTGAGAAAAAATTAAATTATAGCTATGTGGTTCAAGTGATTAGTGAATCGCTGGCATTGCTTATGAGGATTCACAAACTTGTCAACTGGTGAAAACTGTAGTACTGATCAATACCTTCCATCGGTGTAGTGGAGGTTCTTGTGTAGTTGCATGACCTGGCTAGTTTACAGAAAGACAGTGGAGTGTGTGGAATCAATAGCAATAATGCCTGATATAACTCTGAGCAGTCCATTTCAGAGAGGGGAGCTTCATTTCTTGGATCAGCACATGGTTTTGATCCACGTTGATTAAGTGAATGTCTGTGGTACTATTTGTTGAGAACAATGTGTGTATGTTGGAATGACAACTGCCTTGTTGAATGCTGCTGGATTATTAATGGTTTGATACTGGACTCCAGTGTCTTGGGAAAATAAGAATCATGGAAAGGAAGATATATAGCTGTTAAATTGTAGTACAGGCCAATAGTGTGTATTAATGATCATATATAAATATTGCTGTTGATTGATGCAAGTTTTTTTGGGCTCATGAAGATGAATAAGTGTTTTTTTTTTGGGGTTTATGCAGGCTGAATATATTGTTGGGACGTGTGCTAGTATAAATTTATGTCATTTTTTTTCAGGGCTTATTTTCTTCTACACTAAATTAGTTGTCATCAAAATTCTTTTCCTGTTGCAGAGGCAGTTACTACTGATTATGCCTCTTTGAGTGAAGGAGAGTGGAAGAAGCGGCTTACTCCAGAACAATTTTATATTACTCGGCAGAAGGGAACAGAGAGGGCTTTCACTGGGTATGTTGTTTTCCACAAAAGAATTTTGGTTCAATTGCTCTAAATTCTTACTTATCTTTTCTGAAGTTTTGTGATCTGAAAGATAATTGTATCTGAATTCCATTGAGCTTCCAAGAATTTGAACTAATATGTCGCAACAAGCCTTGGTTGACATGTGAACCATTTTTTGGCTCCTTAAAAAGTTAAAAAGGGTTAAAAAGCTTGGCCTTTGGCCGACTTAAACCTTTCCTGCCTAATCCCTCCTCCCTATTTCTCTCTCTTTTCTGATGGAATTGGAATGGAACCGATTAAATACCTCATTTCTCCTAATTTTTCTCTTTGACCTCAAAGAATTTATTCTTTTTACTTTTCTCTGTTTCATATTCATGTGCCCACATACTGGCTGCCAAAGACTTTTAGTATAGAGGCAGGATCATACGACCATGGCCAATGCAAGCCATTTGATGCAATGTAGGTGGTGCCCATAGGCTGTTCGTAATTTTTTTTTTTTTTTTGGCTTGCTAGCTTGCTATTTTTGCTACTACACCAGACAGTAATATGTAGTCCAGCAGATTTGGTTGTTCCTCACTAGATAAATATTCAAAAATACAAAATTTGAAATTGCATGTTTTTTCTCAAATCAACTGTAGCAGTTGGAGCTTAACTAGTACGTTCTAGTTTCTCTATCAATATACCAACCAATTTTGTGCTGCCTCAGTTATATATGAATTTCCGAGTCCTACTCACTTTGGGTATGGGATTCCATTCGACTGGTCTTAAATGAGGTGGGTGTTAAGAGTTGGTTCATTGTATGGTATTTATGTCAATATGTGTTTTCATGGGATGTTTATATCTTCTGGCTTCACTGCTTTCTAAAGCATGAGCTGCAGAGTTAGGTAAGACACAACCACTTTTATCTTTATTGGACCTACTCTGCTTGCTTGCAAATAAAGGAGCAATGAATATGCATTTCTGAACATGTCTTGGGGTTACACCAGAGTTTATGTCGGAGAGGAGTTTACTTGATGTGCTCATTTTACATGATTGGCATCTGCATGGTGTTTAGATGGTTCTAGCTCCAGCATAGCTAAATTCTTGTATATGTGCAAACTTATGTACAATTGAACGTTACCATCAAAATGTACAAATAATATGCCAATGAAGTACTGAAATGTTTGATGGGAGAATCAGAACTAGGAACCAAAACCGTTTATTTAGAGTAAATTTTTCCGCTGGTATTTTTTTCTGTCTGCTGAAATATTTCCTTGTATGCAGGGAATATTGGAACACTAAAACCCCTGGAACTTATCACTGCTTATGCTGTGACACACCCTTATTTGAGTAAGCTCCCAATTCTATTTGGCCTGTCTGTATAAATTGAAAATATCTTGGCAAATAGTTTATTTCATGCTCTCATCAATTGTGATCCTTTCCTGTAGATCAACAACTAAGTTTGATAGCGGAACTGGCTGGCCATCATATTATCAGCCTGTTGGAAACAATGTGAAGTCAAAATTAGATCTGTCCGTCATTTTCATGCCTCGCCAGGAAGTTCTTTGCAATGTTTGCGATGCACATCTTGGTCATGTATTTGATGATGGCCCACCACCAACAGGAAAGCGTTATTGTATAAACAGGTAAGCATTTTCTTCTTTGAATGTATGTTATTGCAGAATACAGACTTTATCTTAACTATCTTAACTAGGGTTCTATTTTCAGTGCCTCCTTGAAACTGAAACCCAAGTAGAAAGGACAGACTGAGGTTGTCTGGATGAGATGCCTGTGTGGCAAACAGGCTTGAATATGGGATACCTGCTTGTTAATTTTTGCCATGAAAGAATTACTTTCATGATATTCTGCCACTCAGCTGTGTGTATCATATTGAATTATTAAGCCACTGACATAGAATTGTGGGTCTTGTGATTGTGGAGAATGGGTCAATAATATGTGTGTATGTTGTTCCTTTATGCTAAACTCATGCGTTCTTCGGTCAGAATGTGCATCGTGTGCATGAAATGGTTTGTACGGATTTTCCGTCATAGTTTCTTTCCTCTAATATTTCCTTTAAAAAAAAAAAAAAAACTGGCAAGACTTTTAAAAATGATAAAGGTGTTTTTTTAGGAAATATTGTATTTTTTTATACAGTTTAATTATTAAAATTAATAAAATATCATTAATGAATAAACATAGATGACAACTTTATTAAAAATATTTTAATAATTTTAATATTCAAACAATACAAAAAAAAAACACTTTTTTGTTCGAAAATTTATCTAAAAGCTAAGTTCTTCTAACACCCTCTAGTCTTTGCAACATCTCTGTAATCGTTATGAACAGTCTCTTTGTTAATAAAATGCACATTTAGACACCATGCATTGCCTATTTTTCAGAAAATAAATACCATCTCGGATGTGTACTAATACTAGTAATTTAATAATTTTGGAATTAAAATATTTTTATTAAAAAAAACGTACAACTTATCTTGTAGATTTTTTTTTAATGGGTGGGAAAAGGCATGGATGGTTTACTCGCGAAAAAGAAAATAAAGAAGAAATCTCAACAATTAAAAAAAGATATTTAAGTTTTACAGAATAAATTGGATATTAAATATATAATTAATTATGTAAATTTATTTAAATATTTTTATTAAAATAATATA